CGACGATGCCGACCCGCCGCCTGCCGAAGAGCCCGAGGGCCGGCCCGACGGTGAAGGGTCTCCGGGCAAGGCCCGACCGTCGGCTACCCGAAGATTCGGGGCCGCCGCGCCCCCGGACCGAGACGATCGAGGCCCTCCCACTAGCGTGGCGGCTCTTAGGTCCAACTTCGAAAGGATCCGTAAAGGCCCTGGGCAGGCTGGGGCGGCAGATAGCGAGAAGCCTTTCTATGTGAACGTCGAGTTTCACCATGAGCGTGGCCTGGTGAAGGTCAATGACAAAGAGGTGTCGGACCGAATCAGTTCCCTGGGCAGCCAGGCCATGCAGATGGAGCGCAAGAAGTCCCAGCAAGGGGCTGCGCAGGGCCTGGGGGACGTGCCCAGGCCGCATTACCGCGGGCGCTCTTCTGAGAGTAGCTGCGGCCTCGACGGCGACTATGAAGACTCCGAGTTGAATCCCCGCTTCCTGAAGGACAACCTGATCAATGCCAATGGCGGCGGCAGGCCCCTTTGGCCGCCCCTGGAGTACCAGCCCTACCAGAGCATCTACGTCGGTGGAATGATGGTGGAAGGGGAGGGTAAGGGTCCCCTTCTGCGTAGCCAGAGCACGTCAGAGCAGGAGAAGCGCCTCACCTGGCCCCGCAGGTCTTACTCCCCCCGGAGCTTTGAGGACAGTGGAGGTGGTTATACCCCGGACTGCAGCTCCAATGAGAACCTCACATCCAGCGAGGAGGACTTCTCCTCTGGCCAGTCCAGCCGAGTGTCCCCAAGCCCAACCACCTACCGAATGTTCCGGGACAAGAGCCGCTCACCCTCACAGAACTCGCAGCAGTCCTTCGACAGCAGCAGCCCTCCTACACCACAGTGCCAGAAAAGGCACAGACAGTGTCAGGTTGTGGTGTCTGAGGCTACCATCGTGGGGGTCCGCAAGACTGGACAGATCTGGCCCAGTGATGGAGACAGCACTTTTCATGGGGACACAGGTAGGTGCCAGGGTGTGCGCAGATACACCTCTGCGGGAATCTAGTACAGGGTAGGGGAAGCCACAAAAGAGAAATTGGCAGGGAGAAATGAATACTTTTTTTGAGTGGTTTTCCATTGCTCTTGTGGTTCAAGCTGCTCCTTTCCCTGAACTCCACCAAGCTTCTTCCTCTGAAAGGCAGGAATGGCAGTGTTTGGAATGACATGGAGTAGGGAGCGGTGATCTATACAGGGGATGGCAGGTGGCTTCTTCCTGTGTGTTTGAAGGAGGATACTCTATGCTGACTGTGATCTTTGGATGTAAGAATGTATAAAGCCATAGTCATTTCTGCACCTAGATCCAATTCCTTCAGTGGGAGTTCATCTGTGCATAGGACATTCCCTGCCACCACATCATTCTTATCCTGGAGGGATTATAGGAAATATTTGAGGGACCCAAGATGTGCAGACTGGTCTGACGCTGGTAACTCATGACGCATGTCTGTAATCCTAGCTACTCAGGAAGCTGAGATCTGAGGATCAGAGTTCAAAGCCAGCTTAGGCAGGAAAGTTGGAGAGACTCTTATCTCCAATTAACTACCAAAGTACCAGAAATTGAGCTGTGACTCAGATTGGTAGATTGCTAGCTTTGAGCAAAAAGAACTCAGGGACAGTTCTTCAAGTTCCACAACTGACAGGGAAAAAAAAAAGAGATATGCAAACTGCTTACAGGCCTTGGAAGTTTCAGGCTCACTTGGTAACAAGTTGGAGCAGGCAAAGGTAGGAATTAGAAGGAAATGAGGTGACAGACAGTTCTGACTCAGTGGGGCCACTAGAAATCAATGAGAGTTTATCTGGAGCTGAAGCTTAGCCACACCCATTCTGATCTTCCTGGCCTGAGACAGGCTTTGCTTTCATCATTACTTCCCCACAAGCTCCTCCATGCTTTGAAATCTAACCCACTGTAGTACTGATCCTCCAATGTGCCCTTGTCTTATGGTCTTTCCAAGCTAAGTACCCACAGGTGCTTATTTTGGGCTCTTAGTTCATTGTCAGACCCCAGCCCTAAAGTTAAGCCTATGGGATTGTACCTAAGTAATGTGCTATAAACAAGAGCCCATTTATTGGGCCTTTGGAGTAATAGGACCAGAATTTGAAGTCCAGGTACAGTTTGCAGATAGGATAAGAAAAGAGGATAAGGCATAGGGTTTGGTAAGGGTAGGGGCTGGTGAGGCTGTCGGGAATTTCTTGGAGTCCTCAGTTGGGCTGATCCGGTTTTCTGCTTCATTGATTTTTCTTTTTCTGCTGATAGAGTTGCATGTGCTTGGTTTGTCAGAATCCTCTTGAAACAAGTTAGGCTATTTTTGGCTCCACTGAGCTGCCTGTGTGTGTGTTCAGCACTCTATCCTGTTTGTTTTAGGTACTTCCAGTTGCTGATAGTCCGTTTGCAGCTGAGGTTGGCTGTGGTGTATGGTGGGACTTGCCTGTGGCCTGGCTGTGCTACATTCCCCAAGTCTCTAGTGTAGAGATGAGAAGCTGTAGGATTCAAAAGCATACTTTGCAGGCACATCAGCTCCTTCTGCGTCTGGAGGATTGCCCTGTGGTCACTGGGCACCAGTCTTGTCCAGCCAGCTGTCTGCTAGACAAACTAACTTGAAGTGTCTTTCAGTGCCTTGGTGTGGGAGAACATTATTATTATTATTATTTTGTTTTTTTTTGTCGGTCATGGGGCTTGAACTCTGAGCCTGGGCGCTGTCCCTCAGCAATTCAGCTCAAGGCTAGCACTCTACCACTTGAGCCACAGTGCCACTTCCAGTTTTCTGGTGGTTTATTGGAGATAAGAGTTGCCGGGCACCAGTGGCTCACGCCTGTAATCCTAGCTACTGAGGAGGCTGATATCTGAGGATCATGGTTCAAAGACAGCCCAGGCAGAAAAGTCTGTGAGACTCTTATCTCCAATTAACCACCAGAAAACTGGAAGTGGTGCTGTGGCTCAAGCAGTAGAGCACTGGCCTTGAGCTGAAGAGTTCAGGGATGGCGCCCAGGCCCAGAGTTCAAGCCCCATGACCGACCAAAAAACAAAAAAGAGTCTCATGGACTTTCCTGTCATAGCCTGGCTTTGAACTCTGATCCCCAGATCTCAGCCTCCTGAGTAGCTAGGATTACAGGCATGAGCCACCGGCGCCTGGTAGGAGAACATTTCTTTTTTTGGGGGGGGTGGTTCTGGTCGTGGGGCCTGGACTCTGGGCCTGGGCACTGAGCCACTGAGCCATCTTCCCAGCCCCTGGAAAACATTATTAAGAAAGAAAATGAGAGGTTTTCATGGAGACCTGCAGTCTGAAATGGTCCTCTGTAGAAAGTTGAACCCAGCTTTTCCTACAGCTCCCGCTCTTGTGGCCATATTGCCTACCACATAGTCAGACCCCAACAACAAATTCAGAGAAGATGAAAGTAGGAATTAGCAGTAAGTGAAGCTTGGTACCTGTGGCGCATGCCTGTAATCCTAGTTATTCATGAGGTTGATATCAGAGGATTGTGGTTTGAAGCCAGCCTGGGCAGAAAAATCCAAAAGACTTATCACCAGTTAACCAACCAAAAGCTGGAAATGGAGCTGTGGTTCAAGAAGCACTAGCTTTGAGCAAAAAAAAAAAAAAAAGCTCAGGGACAGCATCCAGGACCTGAATTTAAGCTCCTGGAGAGGCACTTGGGTTAGTTTCTCAGGAAATATCTGAGGAATTAATTTCATAACTGGGTTCCAAGTTCTCCCTCATACTGGGTTTTGTATTTTCCCTCAGGTATTTTTAATGACGAATAGTATTTAAAGAGAATCATTTAAAAGAGATTATGGAGACTGGGCATGTGGTTCAGGCATGTGGAGGGGGGTGGGATGGGGAGGTGGGGATTGTTCAAATCCTAGCTCTGCAAAAAAGAAGTGAGATAGGAAGTTGAGTCCAGCCTTTCCTGTAACTCATGTGGATATGGCCATGTTGCCTCTACCACATAGTCAGACCCTAGCAAAGTCAGAGAAGATAGAAGTAGGAATTTTTCTTAATTTTATTTTATTTTATTTATTTTTTTGGGGTCCGGTTGTGGGGCCTGAACTCTGGGCCTGGGTGCTGTCCCTCAGCTCTTCAGCTCAAGGCTAGCACTCTACCACTTGAACCATAGCGCCACTTCTGGCTTTTTTCTTTTTGCTTATATGGTGCTGAGGAATCGAACCCAGGGCCTCAGGCATGCAAGGCAAGCGCTCTACCACTGAGCCACCTTCCTAGCCCTTTACTGATGTTCTTTAGATGACTGTGGGACCTGTTGGCCTGAAAAGGAACAGTGTGGAAAATTACACTGTGGGGAGAGGGTGGAAGTCATCCTGATGCTCTGCAGTAGCACACATGGAAACTATTTTCCACGAGATCCCTTTGGATGAGAGACCCTCATATTCTGAATTGAGGGTTTTGGTGATTAAGGGAAGGGCTGAAACCACTGCAGACTGCTCTGTGCTGAGCATGATGACAAGATGCTTCATCTAAAGTCTGTGGAGAGCTCTTTATATATTACCCACTGGTGGGGCTGCCCATTTATAGATAAGGATGCAAATAGGAAATAGCATAGCTGAGATCCTGGGAACCTGTGTAAATTCAAAGCCCTGGTCTTTCTGGTATGTGATGATCCTGCGTGTTGCTATTTTATCAGTGTGTTTTTTGTTTCTTTGAGGCAGGATCTTACTATGTAGCCCAGGCTAGCCTTAAATTCACAATATTCCTGCCTCAGGCTTCTCACATGGTGGCCTTTATTTCTCTGGGGCTTTTTTAATATGTATTTTTGTTCTGTCATTTCTATCTTTTTTTTTTTTTTTTGGTTGTGGGCCTTGAACTCTGGGCTTGGGCATTGTCCCTGTGCTCTTCAGCTCAAGGTGAGTGCTCTACCACTTGAGCCACAGTCCCACTTCTGGTTTTCTAATTGTTTATTGGAGATAAGAGTATCATGGACTTTCCTGCCTGGGCTGGCTTTGAGCTGTGATCCTCAGATCTCAGCCTCTTGAGTAGCTAGGATTACAGGCGTGAGCCACCGGCACCTTGCTTATTTCTATCTTTTTGTTGAGCAAAATCACTTGCCCTTTGGATTACAGCAATGTGTGGAAGCCTGAGTGATCACAGGCAACTGGTTGGAGTAACTGTGGGCCCACCAAAGGTTACCCAGGCCTTTTGCTGGCTCCATCATTGCCTCTGTAGACCAGAGCTATGGCTGACTCTGGATTGAGTGCAGGCTCCTCTCTATGAACAGAGGCAGAGAGGGAGATTGGAAGCCATCTACATCAAATTTTATAAGGTTCTTTGGCTCCAGAAGGCTGATATGTTTTGGGCACAGAATGAAGCATTCTGGAACATTTTACTGAAGTTACTGAGGGTGTCTGTCCTATGACTCTCTTTTGCCTAATTTGTTGCTTCCAGCTTTCAGAGCCATGTCCCAGCATTGGTTGAGAGTCTGTAGCCAGGAAGGTCTGTGTATATAATTACCCCCTGATCAGACAAAGAGTCCAGGTGAGCAATATGTTGAACCCACTTGGGACAGGACTGGATCATACAGGAGGCCTGGCTGCAGCTTTCCCCTGTGCTTTGAAAGGGATCCAGTGTCCAGAGAGAACTCAAAGACATTCTTGGAGCTTTAACCAATAGGTCTGAGTTTTGACTGATGCTGCTGCCTTACAAATCAAGGATCAGGGGTGATGGTATAGTAAATGAACTATGACCTTCATAGAAGTCCTTCCTGTGGAATACAACTCCTCGGCTTCAAGAAAGATTTTTTTCTTTGAAAAATACAGTTACTTTAATTGCAGTGTGTTACTTGTATAACACAGTATAGGTTTATTAATTTTAGTGTGATAAAATATTTTGGGAGAGATGTTAGAGATCAAACCTAGGATTCTGGCACATGCTAGGCAAGTATTCTGCCACTGAGGTATATCCCCATCCCCTACTTCAGTCATATTAAGTGTGCAGTTCAGTAGCATTATGTTTGTAGTCGT